AAGCTCTTGAGATCATGTTTATCTTTATATTTAAAAGTAAAAAAAAAAGTTAGAAATTTTACTGGAATGGATGAAAATGTTTATGACCACCTGAACCAAACCTGTCAATGTACTCAACATTAAAGGTTAGATTTTTAATGTCTTCCTGTAGAAAGCTAGCCAGAGACAGTATTATTACTTTTGACTCACTCATGAAGTTTAAAGTTGCTAAATATATAAAAAGTAGGTTTTAATCCTTTGAGTTAAATTAGCAGTCTTAATTTGTGTTTTTATTTACTGATGCCTTAGTGAAAAAATAACAGTAAAAAACTACTCACAGTTTGGAACTGGATTGTCTCTTCTTTGTTTGCCAGCTCTAATGCGAAAAAGGATTTGTTGTGCGACATGTTGGCAATATCATGCCACCTGCAGACAAAAGGCATGGAACATGACTGGCAAGCTCTGATTTTCAAACCACAGAAAATGTTACTGAAGAACAGAATCACCACCAAGAATATGCATAAAAAACAGAGGACAAATAAAAAGTATATCAATCTATCTGAACAAGCCTTTCTTGCTGTAGAGATAATTAAAAATTACTAAGATTCATTACAAAAAAAAAATCTCGATATGTATTTTTTTAAATTATTCCAAATTCTGTCCAAAGATGTGCAAGCAACCCCTCTTGAAGTCAGTGGGATCCAGGCCATTTCACAAGATGACTGAATTTTAACTGTTAGGCAAGTTGCAGACTCACCTATGTCTACAATTTAACCATAGGAACATTAAATGATAAACTAAAACAATGTATAAATCCAAAATAATTAAACAAATGTTATCATGTGACTCTCCTCTATTTCTTTTATATCTAATATATGAAAGGAAATCCTGGATAATTTTACAATTGAATATTTCTAAGTAAATTGATGTGCTCATCTCGGGACTTAAGATGTTCTATGTGCAGAACACATATCCTTTGACTCAATATGTGCTTTGCAATGTAATGCATATTAAATGTTCATCTCTTAGAATTAATGTGGCTTAAATGAGGCTTTGGGCAACGTGGTCTAGTGGAGGGTGTCCCTGCCCGCAGCAGGGGGGTTGGAACTAGATCATCTTTAAGGTCCCTTCCAACCCAAACCATTCTATGATTCTATGATTAAAGAGATTCGTCCTGCAGTCAATATGTTGAAAAATTCTCATGGACTTCAGTATTCACATAGGGTGACAACTACAAGACTATGTTCAAGTTTATCAAATGAGTAAGTACACATCTAAGAGTCATTCATGCTAGTGAGGAACACACGTAAAACGCGAAGTGCACAAAGATACTTTAACAAAGAACAATACTAACCTAAATACAACAGGAGGACGACCATTTTTGTGTTTCACAAAGATACCATCAAGACATGCTCCAATGAATATGTCACTTCCTTGGCTGTCCTGTAAGAAGTTGCAAAAAATTATGCAAATACAGAAAAAAGTCTTTGAAAGCAAAGTTACATGAGAAGCAAATACTTTTACAATTCTGGGGGAGAAAAGGGGTGGTGCAGGTTTTGGTTTTTATTTATTTTTGGCAGGAAGTATCCCTTTTTACATAAGGAAAAAAAGCAACTGAGATAAAGATCAAAGCTCTGTTTACCTTTGCAGGATAGGTCTCTTCACCGTAGCCTTCCATTCTCTCTACTTCTTGCATATATAACATTTCTGCGTCAGGAGGAGTAAGGCCTCTACAAATGAAAACAATGATCAACTAGTACTGTCAATAAGAAAAAAGATCACCTTTGTTTTACTCTGACTGACACTGTCAAAGCTTGAAAAGCATCCCCCCAAGACATCCAGGCAACCACCAAATCATGCTGTTTTCATCCGTACCGATGGCTGATGTATTTGTCTCAGCCTTTACACTTTGATTCTAGTAACTTCTTTCTTTCAGGCATCTCTAGGGGTAAATGGTAACAAAGATCAGATAAAATTATCATCTCTGTGATAACTGTCTGTCATTCGCATTCTTCTTCAAATCCATCACTGTCACCATATTTTCTTACTTTATCAGAATGACTACTCTGGCATGCATGTTTAAGACCTGACTTTCTCTTATTGTAGTATACATGTTTAGGACCAATATGAAGTTTGATGCTTCACATTTCAGGAATTTCAATCTCATTTTCTAAATGCTGACAGAGTTTTACCTGTAATGGTTTGAAAACATGAGAAGGACAAGATCTGTAGGTAACATTTTTAATTGCACCAACTGGCAAAGTTTTCTCACAGACTTGCAGTAGTGTCACAGGGATTAAAAGCTTGTGTTTCCCTACCTGCCACAGTTGATCTCATAAAAGACATTATTTTCTACCTGCAAAATCCTGTCATGTTCATTCTTATGTGTCTCAATACTTTTTCAATCACCAATCTCTGTTTCTTCACTTTTCCCTAATGTCATCCAGATTAAGTTTTTTTCTGAACCCTAACCATGCAATCTTGTTACAAAAGCATTTCAAAGAGAAATGGATTTTAAACTTTCAAACTTGTTTTAAAAGAATACAGGAAAAAAATAATAAGTATTACTCACATAGTCACAAACATTTTTCACTAATGAAATGACAACAGAGAACTTAACTTTCCTTTGTCTTGGACTACTGCATCTTAGCTACCTTAAGATCATAATCATTCTGCCACAGCGACTGTCTCTACATTTCTACTGCCCTCAGTATCTGCCAATGTTGTTTATCAAGAAACATCCTTACTTGGGTCACAATTTCATATAAACAAGTTTCAGAAACATGATACAGGTGAAATCACACTATGTAATTGTGTCCTGTATTCTTAATTTTCAAGCATAATCTTCTCATTCAGTTTAACGGTCATTCTGTTCTCTTTTTGCTTTTATTCAGCAAAATTCTTGTAACTTCAATGCAGATAAGTGAAAAATTCATTTAAATGGGATGTGAAATTAGTCCAACTGTCTTCTGAGAATCCCAAGTTCCTGAGCTACTGAAGCAATCACATCAAAATTAAGCAATAAGAGTTTTAGAAATGTTACCTGTACTTCTGATGTAGCAAGGCAACTTTCTGTGTCGCTTCTTCCAATATTTTTTCTTCTTGTAGCCAACCCTTAAGGTAAGATAGCATTTATAGAATGAAATACAAAAAAATTCTACAAAATTAAATGGTTAGTTTCTTTACTCAGGTGAATCAACCCTCCTCTCTAGTTTTGGAGCTTAGATGTCATAATATGCACACAACCAAAACCAAAAAGCACAAAGACTGTTTTGAAGTGGTTTTACTCTCTTTCCCACCTCCATCTCAACCTTCTTTTCAGTGTAACATACAATAAAATTGAAAAGATCTTGCAACATCTTTGCTTCTATGTAATATAAGGTATCGTATCTTACTCCAATGTCAAAGAAAACCTTTACTGAACTTGACAATCTAGGGAGCAGTAAGCTAGATGGATCATGGAGTCTTTAATAATTATTTGCATTTACCAATCTAAAGAAAGATTTAAATTTAATTTATCAATTTAAGAATTTAAATTTATCAATTTAAAGTAAGTACTTACCACTGGAAACAAAGCAAATCTTTGTAGAAACTCCTGAGATTCATACTGATCATAGTCTCCAAAATCAGCTAAAAAATAAAAAATTTCTTGGATTCAAACATTTGTAACAAAATGATTCAATACCCGATTAATTGCAGCAGGATCTCCAAGTAGCAAATCTCCATCCTATTGAACTATGATCTGAAAGTAAAACAATGGAACAAACTAACCAGTAATGTTTATGAAAAGTAAAAACACATCCCATCTTTTTATCTTGTTCAGAAAAACTGGTAACATTCCTTGTGGACAGGAAAGGAGAAGAAATGATAAAACAATCGGACTGTTGCTCCAAGTTCCTTAGTTCCTTGGGGTTTTATTTGTTTGGTTTTTAAATCACAGAATGGTTGAGGTTGGAAGGGGCTTCTGGAGATCTAGCTCTAAGCAGGGTCAGCTACAGCGGATTGTCTCCGAGCCTTCTCCAGTCAAGTTTTGAATACAGAGGATGGAGACTTTACAACTTCTCTGGGTAATGTGTTCCAGTGTCTCATCACTCTCACAGCAGAAAACTTTTATTATGTTGAGACGAAATCTCCTGTATTTCAGTTTGTGCCCATTGCCTGAGAAAAGTTTGGCTCCATCTTCTTTACTCGTTCCTGTCAAATACTCAATTACTTGCAGTACAGCGCTGGTACACTGCTCTCACCTGCAGCGGGACCCAAACACTGCACAGAGCAGCTGGAGCACCCTTCTGCTCTCAGGCCTTCTACAGCTCCCTGCACCCAACATGCAGGAATTGGGACCTAGAAGCCTTCCCAGACTCCGGGGCATGCTCAGAAAGGACTTGATAACAGGTTTGATTTTAACAACCATTTTGATTTTACATCATGCCAAAAGGCATCCCAAGGAATTTGCCTCTTTTTCTGATTCCAGGAAAAAACTAGCCAGCATTTCAAAGAAGAGAAATAAAACAGTCTAAAATTGGAAAAGTTATATACTGCTGTTACAGGAGAAACTGTGGAACAGCAGTCTGTATGGAATGGCTCTCCCAAAAATATAAACACAATCCCCAAGTATACAGATCCTATTTACATTACCACAGACTCTCATCCAGAATAGTATAATTTTAGAGACATTTAGGAACCAAATTTGTATTAAGCACTAACAATTAAGATGCAAGTTATTTATGATGAAAGGGGAGAACCTGTGACACGCTACACCAACACAGCACTTGAGATAAAGCAGTGTTTAGAATTAGCCTATTGTAATTATTTCAAATACAGATCATTCTTGAAACCAGTTCACTCGAAACAGCAAACAACTGCTTCTGTTTGTTCACCAGCTAAAATTAACTAACCTACCTGGTATAAGCTACTTCAGTCATCTGAGCACATTAATTTAGAACCTGCATTTTTTCTGAGTTGTTTTTTTCACTGTGTTATCAACACATACAGTTTCTCTCTTATACAAGACTGAAAAAGGAATGTGAAAGCTAAAAGGATAAATATTTTCCATCTGGAAAGAGGATTATATTGAAAGATTTCTATAAACAACTCACTGAGCAGAGAGACATTTACACTGTCCAAAGATACAAAAATACCAAAGCAAGATTTTGTCAGTTGAAGACCATTAAATCCTGGCTTGGATTAAACAGATTCACTGTTATATAAACAAGGCACTAATATAATTCACCCTACTCCACTGGTAACCACATTTTCAAAAAATATAATCAACATATTTAATGTGATACTACCAGAATACACAATTAAAAAAAAGACAAAAAAAAATTTAAGTTGTATGTATTCCCAATGATTTTAAGTTCCTTTCAATTTTGGCAGATTTACAATTGCAGTTAGATATACTCGAGTGGCATTCACTGTGAAGCGACATACAACCACACTAAACAAAGCTTTTGCCATTAAAAACTTTTATTCTGAGAGATTTAAGATCGAACAAGCATGTTAGCCGGGAACACCAGACAAGATCAGTGCAGACAGACTCAGGACTGGTGGCTCTCTGGTGTATACTCTATCCCATCTGACCCCACTTAGGAAAAATAAAGCAGCCATTTTCATGTAGGTATCACAGAAATGGGTCTTCAGGAGCGATTTGAACATGGGAATTGTAAACAGTCTTGCATACTAACTTGAAATAATCTTAGGTGTTAGGATACCTGGGAGAAAAAGTGGAGATACAAGTACTACTGTACATTCAAAGTTGCTTATTTATTAAAAAACATCTCTTTCTCTTGTTAGCATGTCAAAATAAAGAGTCTTCATTAACAGAAACTGATGAAAGGTCTGTCAATGCAAGCAGAAGCCTAAAGCCTTTGCCCCCAATGGAACTCTGATGTCTAATTCAAACCCAGCTGCTGACACCCTGGTACACCTCTGAGGACTGCACAGAAATACCAGTAAGTTTGGGGCCCCTGATCCCACTGTTCCCCTTCCTCAACCCATATGGCAAAGGTCTAAGGATCAAGCCTTTCATAACTTACTGAATTGGGTCTTTGAGTGACAAATAGAAAATATATCACCGAAGTTTCTAATTCAACATTAGCTAATTGGCACAACTGCCTTACTTACCCTGAACAGCTAAACCAGCCAGATGTATTGCTTGTTCCAGTGTGCAAGGAATGTTGCCCTCCAAGATATCTTTCTTTAATTGCAAATAATACTGATACCTACATGGGAAAAAAAGAAAAAGCTAACATGGGCTTCTTAATTTAAAGAGTGTGCAGATGAATATGCCTGGGTTTCCTACCCCTCTCTGCCTTCCCCAGTTTGTGCGGAGGGTAGCCTTCCTCATTATTTGGACCCACAATTTCATGGTCTTTGTCAACTCCTCCCTTAGCTTTCACGTATCACTGCAGAATCAGACTGCTACTTCTTAAAACAAAGAATCTCCACAATTTCTACCTACTCCCATACTCTCATTTTTTTTTACCTCTTCCTTCCTTAATATTCTTATTATCTCCTCTTTACAATGTTCAGTACATTGCTGCTGTATTGCTGCATAGATGTAACATTGCACATCCCTTCAATCACAATAGTGACTTACATTTCTGCATTACAACTTCTAAGCACGTTTTGTTCTCACTTTCAAGGCACCATTTTTTTTCCTCTAATCTGTCCTTTTCCTGGGTCATCTCTTGGACATGCAACCACTATCAGCTGTACCATTTGTCCACAGTCTGAACCACTATATTCTTGAATTCTTCTGCCCCCTTCAGCCACCCATGAACACCCTATCTTGAGCCCAAAACACCTCAAAAATTGAAAATGCCATTATAGCTACACAGACTTTGCCAAAAAGGACATTTGTCTTCTATAATTCTAGCTTTAAAAGCTTCTTAACTTCCTCATATTGTATGTTAATTCTTGTGAAGGCTTTAATACTGAGAACATGGAAGCATGTGCTGCAATTCATTCAGTGATTAGAAAGGTCAGGTAAACTCCACACAAATTTTCATCAGGCTAAAGGATGGCTCTCTGCCCTCACTATTTAACAGTCTGATAAATACAGTGACATGTTATAAATATTGTTTGGATTCTTCTGGATCCTAATACAAAAAAAGCAGTATGCCATATGGCAGCAGATAACATCTTATCCAATACACACAAGAATAGCTGGGACTAAACCCAGGCCTTAAAAAAAACCAAACAAAAACAAAAGGAAAAAGCCACTGCATGACAAGGCATTTGGGGAAATAAAACTTCAAGCAGTAGAACGTAAGCTCTTTCCACAGAACTGCTATTAAAAGTAAACATGCAGACAAAGAATCTTGACGCTACCTTGTGATAGTACAAATACCATCTCTTTTGTCTATGACATTTACATTTCCTGGTATACATCAAACATATGATTTGTTTAAACACGCTCAATCTCATTTATATTGAAAAAGCATGAAAAAAAATCCACAGATTTCTGAAAATAATCCAGACTCTCACTATTGTACATCAAACCAAGTACCATACTCTAGGACTTGAGAATAAGGTTGGCACATAAATTCCTGCCTCCTACATGGCAGCACACTGCAAAATTGCTGTTAAAGCTCCAGCATAAACATCATGTTCTTCAAATAGATGCCAGAGAAGAATATTCAAGTTTTTTTCAGGCAATTTAGCTATTCAATGCATCATCATGACATTTATCTTTATCATGACATTTAGTTTATCTTACTCTAATCCTAGTACACCAACAAGCACAGAATCTGAACCAAAGATTTATTAAAAAAAAAAAAGAAGAAAAAAGACTGACTACTAGAATGAATATTTAAGCCAGTAAAATTGCTGAGAAAAAGCCCAAAACTTTTCAGAAAGAGAATAATTTTACAGAAATTACACATAAAACAAAAACTAAAGCTGCCAGGCATTGAGCAACACATTACAGCACCAGTGTCTGAACCAAGAGGGTTATCTCCCCAAAAAGCTTTCACGGCTAAATTAGTGGGAAAGGTCTCTGGCAAGGTATTTTAGCACCAGAGTATATAAAGATAGTTTCATGTAACCACAGAACAAATCAAACTGGAAAGGACCTCTGAGTGATCATCTGGTTCAACTCCCCACTCAAAGCAGGGCCAACTTGAAGTTACCAGCTTAAACAGGTTAATTAATGCAAGCACATATTTCTGAAATAACAAAATATGTTTGTAATTCAGTTACTGGTTTTGTACCATTTGCCTGTTAAAAATAACCATTAAATCAGAATAACTATAGAATTAAGACACTACATGTATAGGCCCATAGGAATAACTAGCCAGTACACACACTCAATGTTACTTTCCCCCTGCAGTCTGCACTACTTATGTGATGTTCCCCAGATTCACAGTAGAAATGGATATATGATATCAAAGCTAATGTCCATCTTCATTGCCCAGTGATACACAAAAGAAACCCTCCCAAGCTGAAGCTTAGCCTGTAGTTTGCCAATGTACTGTACTGAAAGTACAGAAAGTAATGAAAGCAAAATAAAGGAAAGTATAGCTCAATAAAATCTGCATGTGCTTTGTGCAGGATGGATGTCCCCAAAAGCAACATATGTCTCTTCAAAACAAAACAAAACGAGACAAATATGAAGGGACTAAAACAGTTAAAAGTCTGACCATGTGGGTATGCCTATTACTGAAAACAGGTTTGAACAGATTCCTAAGATCACCAAAAAGTTAGTTGTTTGCTTAGTTTATCATGTTTTAAATATTTGAAAGGGAAATAAATACACAGTTTGAACATACATTCTGCCTAAAGTAATAATTTCCATTTCTATTGGGGCAGGGGGAGGGAGAGCAGACAATTTTTAAATAAACCATACATTTCAGAATGCTGAAAGCAAAATTATAGACACATGTTTGAAGTTTACCTGGTAATCTCCTGCTGAAGCTGAGAAACAGTAGGCACATAGAACACTACTCCAAAATACACAGTTGGCTCCAAGGCATATTTGTCCAGCTGCTTTTTCAGAGGCTTGTCCAAATCTACCCATCTGCGCTGATTCTGCTTATTATAATACCACAGACTGAAATATGTAATCTGAAAAAGAAGCATTTCAATGATGAAAAAAAGTTAATACTGCAATATTAGATAAAATATGCTGTATGAAAGTCTTGTTACTTCCAAATAAAAGTTTTAGAACACTGACTAAGCCTATGGGTTATTGAAAACTTAGAGAACTGAAGAGATATTTAATAGCAAAAAGCAGACATTACTTCCAGATAAGCAATCCACGTACATAAGGTCCCCCACCTAAAACATTACCAAACTTACTCTTTATTTGCAAACAGTCCCTGACCCTGTTGGGGCAACTCACAGATGTTAGTAGTAAGCATTTATGTGTGACAGGAAAACTAAGAGAAGTGAGGCAGACAAACAGAAAATTACACTGGACAGCAGGAGAACAAAGTATGTGTTGTGGTTTAACCCAGCCGGCAGCTAAAAGAACCACACAGCTGCTTGCTTAATCCCTGCCCCCAGTGAGATGGGGGAGAGAATCAAAAAGCAAAAGGTAAAACTCATGGGTTGAGATAAAGACAGTTTAATAGGACAGAAAAGGAAGATGATGATGACGACAATAATAACAACAACAACAACAACAACAACAACAATAATAGAATATCCGAAACAAGTGATGGAAATGATGCTCAGCTAGTTCCTGAGCCACATGGTCTCCTGACCAACTCCACCAGTTATATATAGAGCACGACGTCATATGGTATGGAATATCCCTTTGGCCAGTTGGGGTCAGCTGTCCTGGCTGTGTCCCCTCCCAGCTTCTTGGGCACCCCTCGCCTTCTCGTTGGCAGGCTGGTATGAGAAGCTGAAAAGTCCTTGACTGCTTGGCAATGACTAAAATATCAGTGTGTTATCACCATTATTCTCATCCTAAATCCAAAACACAGCACTGTATCAGCTGCTAGGAAGAAAATTAGCTCTATCCCAGCCAAAACCAGGACAGTATGGATTCTCTGGGTAACTGGCAGGCAGGCTCACATGGGATGCTGAAGGACAACCGAGCACAGGACAGCTGGTCGGTCAATGCTCCTTAAAGTACATGTATGGCTCATCCCATGAGCAAGCAAATGACCAGGTACAGCAGCAAGCTACCTTGCCTGAGCAGGCAACTCTTGACCAAGCCAAAACACAAAATCCAGTATGCACTGGAACAGATTGCCTCAAGAGGCTGAGGGATGTCCATCCCTGGAATGGCAAAATTCCACTGGACAATGTCTTGAGCAACACAATCTAACTTTGATTAGATCTCCTCTGAGAAGGAGTTTGGACAGAATACTTTTCTATCATGCCACAGTATAGTTCTAAATCCACACTGCAGAGCCACTCATTCAAATTTAAATTTCTCCACTATGTTTAAACTGATTAAAATCTGCTCCTACAGTACTTATTTCATTCAGTTCTGGACCAGCAAACAGACGTGGACTGGAAAGTATTCATGTCATTATCATAGCAAAACTAGAAATCAAAATTACAAGGTTATTAATTGAGGGAGGGAGATAAAGGAATGCTATGAATTACCAATTACATCTGCAGGCATTTACACAGAAATTCTCCAAGTCCTTGCCACATATACATTATTATACATAGAAATGGTAGAAATATCAACATCTTTAATCCAACACTTTTCTTTATATAGTTTCAGATTTTTTTACTTATACAACATAAAGCTATTAAGGATGAAGTTTTATAAAACAAAGGACAATTCACCATAATGATTTTTTTACATCAATAATTTTTGTGAATTAGACTTGGAAAAATTGTCTACCTAGCAAACAAAGTATTTACCGACGTTTTCTCAGAAGCTCTAGCATTTTGACACTTTGGAGCACAGATCTGAAATTCATTGGGGAGCAACAGCTGGTAGTAGAGAAAGGCCACTTTAGTACTTTCGTATGAAAACTTGCCTATATACATGTCTGAAAATTCATACACATACATCTTCTTGTAGTCTAAGCAGTATGAAGAGTCTACCCTCACGGGATTCTGGCTACCCCTGACAGCTCTGACAGGCTGACAATGCATGCATGTCACAACCATCGCATAGGCAGGTATGCTACAACCCAAACTTAAAGCACAGCATTGAAGTCAATGCTCCGTATCAGCACAGGTCACTAACTAATAAAAGCATTTTCTCTGGAAAATCAGAGCCAATTCTAAGGCATAATATTCCTTTGACATTGCACAGTGGCAAAACATCCTACTTTGCCCCTCTCTAAATTAGCATCAACACAGTTTTAAGTGATCATTGGTACGTTTTGGCGGCGTTTTTTCCCCCAATGTTTAAAAAAAAAAAAAATCCTCTAAATTAACATTACTGTTACCATGTAATTGTAAAATCAGTATTCAGAAGATAAAAAAAAATGTTAGGATGAAGTCTGCCCATTTAATGTTAATTAAGATCCCTTCTGCAAATTCTAAGACAACTCTGGTCCTATTTGATAAAAAATCAGGCTATAATGCAAAAATTAAATTGAATTAGAACTGCTCATAGAAGAAAAAAGCAGTTTTTCAGTATAGTGGAAAATATCCGGAGAAAAGGCAGAATGCCCATCTATACAAAATATTTTCATGGTTGGGAAGGTTTAAAAATCACCATAGAGGAACAGACTGTATTCCCACATCAGAAACAGTTCTCTTGTAAACCACATCCTACAAACCAATTTTTTCACAGGTGGACACTGTGTGCTCTTCACTTCTGAATTCTGAAAACCATGAGTCAAATTTAAGAAGTCATAGATACTTCCAGTTGCAAGAGGACAAAAGGAATATGGCTCTGAATACAAATAATATAAACGACACTGTTTTCTAAATTTTTCAGTCCAGGCACGCAAAGTTTGCTGATACCTCAGAGAACATTTGTATTTATTTCTGTGCTTCGATCCCCCAACCATAAGATATAATGAGTGGTAACCTCCACCACCCCACAAGGATATTGAGAAGACAGTTTCTTAAGATTCCATAAGATGTTAGGAGTTGTAACAGTAGTACCACACAAACTCCATTGAGAAAGAAATACTATGTCCGCTGCAACGTCACACACTGCAAAGGATAAAATGTACCGAATGACTCCTCCTCAATTCTTCCTGCAGACTGAATGAGGAAAGGAATGCATGTAAAAAGTTGCATTTCTCTTTCATTACAAGACTCAATACTACGTGCACAGTCACAGGAGCCAAAGGCAGGCTGTGATGCTGACATTCGGTAACTTCCGAGTGTCATAAATGTAATGTATATATAATGCAAGATGGTAAGTAAACTAAAAGACCAAAAAATAAAAATAACAGTTAAAGTTGAACTACATGCCATGAGCTACTTGATCTCACTTGCTAGAAAGACTTCAAAAAAGCAAACCTACTGTGCTGGCTCAGCCCACCTGCCCAACAGGTCAACCACATCAGCCCTGGGTTGAGTGTGACCTGAAACGTCAAACCACAACCATCTGGGTGAGAGCAGAGGCCAAGGCAGAGCCTGAAACCTACGGGTAACAGCTACAGAACCACAGAAGCACACCAACAAAGTTGAAAGACTTCTGTAAAAGATACCACACAAACATTTTTGGAAACCAACTAAAAATGTATGCAAAAGTTTCTAAGTAACTGTTTGAATAGCTTTGATCTGAAGCCTTAGTACATTTAAGCCTCAAAGAGGTATAGATGTGTAACAGAAAAGTCAGGAGAGAAAGAGCACAAACTTCTGTTACCACCACCACTGTTTCAAGCCCCGTATAGCCTATTTTTAAGGCATGATGGTCACTTGCACTTGTCTGTTTCTTTAAAACACTGACCACTTTTTCTTGCCTATACACAGAACCAAGTAGTGGCACAACAGACTAAAAAAAATGTTTCCACATCTTAAAATATTCTCTGGAATCCAGCATATCTTTAAACAAGATTCTTCTGCCACAGTATTTTCCCTTACAAATTCCTCCAACCTGGACTATCGAAAATAAAATGAAAGCCAAGCAAAACATTATGGATCAAAGCCTGTCTTCTGACTTGTATGCAAACCTGTCACTTGACTTCAAGGGCAGAATTTGATCCTGTGAGTTTTCAGACGAGCTTATGCACCCTGGAATATTCGCACTGATTAAAATAGAATCCATTTTTATTCATTGCTAAAACATTTTATTATTAGCAGCTCAAGACAACACCCAATTCTAAAAAGAAAGTCATGAGATAATTCTTAAAATATATTAAGCTGTTAAGATTAACACTACTTTGAGGTTCATTTATTTTAGTGACTTATTCATGACCCAACCCCTTTGAAGAAAATCAAATATAAATAAAAAGAATATATAATTTGTGCATTGTCACTTTCTCCCTAGCTGCTTTCTGTCACTACGGACAGGAATAGTAAGCATTTTTTTGCATAAAAGCTCAAGAGTTATCAGAACTGCAAAAGTACCAAAAACCCAACACAGTATTACAACTCACAAGTTGGTGGGAGTGGAGTAACTTCCTCTATGAAGTTAACCAGACTTCCCAAGCTAAGCAGAGGAGCTTTGTCACGTATGACCGACACAAAACTCCATTACTGTAGATGACTGTATTAGATCTTTTGCCATGATGTATGATGAGAGTGAGAGAAGCAGGGCTTACCAGACTAAATTAAAATTTTATTGTGGGCTTCAATTGCCTAAGAGTGGGGTATAGAGAAGACAGAGATTCTTCTTGGAAGTGCTCACTGAAAAGTATGAGAAGCACTGGGCACAAGCTGCAACATGGGAAATTCCAATTAGATCAGGAAAAAAATTTCACAACAGGACTAGCCAAACACTGGAACAAGTAGCCCAAAAAGGTGTCAAATCTCTATCCTTGGAGGCACTCAAACTCACCCAGGCAATCCCTGAGCCCCCTGATCCAAGCTGGCCTTTCAGAGGGTAGGATCACGCAACCCTCAGAGGTCCCTTCCAACTCCAACTATTAGGTGATTCTATGTCATTATAGAATTGGTGCTGACAAAGAGAAACAGCTTACTGAGAAATTCTTGCATCTAAATTAAATAACAACTTTTTTTTTTTT